CAACTTCTGCAGGGCAATATTTTTTCTACAGGGAAAATATGCATCCAAATACCCCCCCCCCCCCAACAAAAAGTATGAAGTGACGCCCCTGTTTTGGCTAGGGTGGGCAAACTCGGGAAAGAATCATGCCTGAGGGGGGCAGGCTTTAAAACAAGAGATATAACAAACAGATATATTTGGACTAAATCAAGCTCACGGAATTATAATTATGCCGGTTTTTCAAAATGTCAATTGGAAAAAGTGTAGCAAGAGGGGGTTGTTGTCAAACTTTTCATCTGGGGGGCACAGCTCTCCCGTGCCCCCTGCAGCTACGTGGCTGATACGAAGTAAATTTGCTATACGCATTAAAACTTTTGCAAATAGAGTACGAGATTTCCACGAAACCAAAGGATTTCTATGAAACTTTAGATAAACAATATGATTTCCACCAGTGGTGAACGAAATTTTTTGGGGATGATTTGCCCCACGAAATAGCTAATGAGATACCAATTGAATATTAGGCGATTGAGTGAAAGAATGATTACATTTTCTAATTTTTCTGGAATATATACCACCTTGCCTGCTTTCTTTAGAAAATCTCGACTTCAAGAGAAATAAAAAAACTGACGATGAAATTTTTTTCTGGGTTAATATTGAAATACAATTAAATCCAACAAACGACTTTTCTACGTAAATGTTTGAAATAGAGAGCATGAAAGAATTGTCAAAGAAGTCTGGCTAAAGGAACCGTGTTTTTTTAATTAGTTAACATTTCACCATAACACTGACATTGGCAGACAAGAAGGCAATACCATATGAAAAAGTCTCCAGGGAACAAAAACCTCAAAAACCATGATCTGGTATCCTGTTTGACGTTCTTCATGAGGGTTAATGGATGGCACAATGTCATGGTTGAGAATTTTGACAGCTGCATTCAGACACGGAGATCTGATAGTTATTTCAGAAATAAAGTGAAAAAATTTAATGGGAAAGCATGGTCTTTTCAGTGCTTTCGGGAAAATAAAATTGATCATTCAGGAGAAAACTATTAGCTCAAATTATTGGCTCAAGAATGAAGATTAGAAAGACAGGTGAACTTTAATTATGTAGTTGAATCACGAAGAGAAAATACAGCGAAACTCTTTTTATTGCAATTTTGCCTGATGAACTTCTAGACATCATTTTTGATTGCAAAATTATTTGACATGGCAAAGCCAGCTCTCATCGAATTTCTGACCGTAGAGCAACGATCAAAACGTATAATCATGTTGAGAGCTTGCAAAATATATGGATACAAACTTTTGTCTAGAGAACTGATTCCAGAAAAAGTAATGGACTTTCCTTAAAAGGATTTAGAGATGATAGGAACAGTTCCCAAAATGCTCCCCTATAATGGAACACACTGTCTCAGGCCGAGATGCAAGCAAGCATTAAAACACTTTGAGGAACTATAAATGGCTGAATGTGGCGTCTGAGAGACTTTTTAATTAAATTAGTGCTGATGTCGATTATGCTAATAATGACGATGATGATTGGCGGTGATTTTCGACTGGCGATGTTTGATCATGATTGATGGCTGATGATGATTGGTGACAGACGATGATTGATGACTGTTGATGATGATGATGATTGGCGGCGATTGTTGACTGATGAAGTTTGATTATGATTGATGGCTGATGATGACTGATAGGTGGTGGTGAATGATGGCTGATGATGGTTGATGGCTGATGATGACGGCAATGACGACGACGAGAAACAAACTTTTGTCAAATTAATAGGTAACAACAGAAAAAGTAATGTGTTGTCTTAAATTCATGAAATGTATACATAAAAAACTTTAAAGTACGTTTTTTCTATCCTACATTATGTATTTTATAATACTTTCAAAGCCTCCTTGAAAATAAAACTTGGCAGTATCAACAATGTAACCCACTTGAGACCTGTTGGAAGAACAGACATGATGATCAAAATGATGTTGCATAAAATGTCCATAATAAATTACGATTCTTCTTCATTCTGAGGTTCTGCTTGAGGTTCTTCTTGATCTTCTTCCATCTTCTCTTCTTGTGCATCCTGACAATCTCCACCCTCAACTTCTTCGACACCTTCAGGTTTTGAATCTTCTTCAGGCCTTAAAGGCTCTTCCTGTTCTGTTTCTTGCTGCTCCTCCTCAGCTTCTGCTTCCTTTGTCTTCTTCGACGGAGGAGCAGTTTCCTCTTCAGTCTCTTGCTCAGGCGATGCAGCTCTTTTCAACGATTCTAAATTAAAAATAATAGTTACTAATCTGAAAAAGTGATGAAAATCTCAATTAGAAAATATTTTATATAAGCTTTGACAAACTTTTTAAATACGAGTGTATAGCTCATATGAATTCACGAGGAAGAAGTTCCTAAAGAAGAATTTTCCTAAGACCTTCTAGAAAAAATGGCACCCAAGCTATTACTAGAAAGAATAGCAGCCCAAACCCGAGCTAGCTAGACAGATTTAACACAGATTTGAAGCGAAGTTTAGCTACTTCCAAATATTGATCTAAGAGGAAAAGCATTGTAATTCTCAAGCATCGTGGTTTAAGCCACCTGTCAATCAACATTAGCCAATCAACAAGCGTGTGAGTGGTATCAAGTTAACTGTATGTGTATTTTCCCACTTCGGAACATTCAAGAAATTTCATTTGAAAGTATTGCAAGGGCCTAAAAACATAATCTTAAGTAACTTAAAACTTGAAAAGCATCAGGTTAGGCGAGGACAGAACGATAAAGGAGGTATCTACGAACTTTCTTTCTGGGCTTCTTCCTTCTTGGCCTCTTCTTTTCTAGCTTCTTCGTTTCTAGCTTCTTCTTTTCTAGCTTCTTCCTTTCTGGCTTCTTCTTTTTTCGCTTCTTCCTTTCTGGCTTCCTCTTCCGGGTCAATTTTTTCAAACGCATAAGCTGTGTAAAGACCTTGAAAAAAAAATAAAATCTAAGGTAGAAAAAACAGTGGTTTTAATAATCTCACTCTTCAATAAAGATATGGCATGGTAAAAAATTGCAAAAAATAAAACGAGATTTCCAAACAATCTTGTTTATAGGGTGGCAGAGTGATGATGTCGCAAAAATATGATTCTAGTGAACCTGAAGGGACCCTAAGAAAAACCACTAGGCGTACCAAACAAGCTATAGATATTGTTCAATTTCGCTGAGATAAGGTCACCAATTGTTTGTGCCTGGTTCATGAAATTTTGAGCCACGATAAAATTATAATCTTTTGGTCGGGAAAGAGGCTGTGCTCATGGGGTCATATCTTAGTCAATCTGTGCAAGATTTATATGTTTTTATTTATGCAAAAAGGACGAATTTTCCCGCAGATTTTCTACTCATGTGGTAAAAGTTTTTTAAAAAAAATCTTATGACGTCATCACTTTTAACATTCTAATGAAAGCTAGTTCTAATAAATACTTTCACATTTGCGTCTTTTGGAAAAGAGAATCTATAAACCGACCGACTAAACATCCCTAGCAATCCGGTCTTGACTGAGGAAGCGAAACATAACTATTACTGTTTTCCAATTAATTTCTTATCTCTTCCAGACTGGTTGCTAAGCGATAACTGATTTTAAGTAATATTTTACAAACTCTGAAGTCATATAGACATGGTAACTAGCCCAGAGACACGTATCTCTTAGCACCTATCTTCAAAATATGATTTGACTTTATCAAGCCAATAAAAGCCGTAATAAAGGATCTTGTGTGTCTATCAGTCGATATAACAGGCAATGATCAACGAGTTATTTATGAGACTACGCACAAAGGAAATCTTATCAATCAAATGGGTTTCAAATGTGTCCGAGACAGACTTCATTACTATCGCTGTTATCTACACAACCATCTAATGCTACTTAGCGACAAGCTACAAAACTTATATTATAATATTTTCAACAGTTAACAGTGCTCTTTTTAAAACAATAACCCAGCAAAAACTCTTCAATGAAGTGAAGAAACGAGAAATAAAAAAACAGGTAAGTAAAAAGAATTATTAGAATTACTTGAAAACATTATAAGTTGTAAAGATGAATATTCGATAAATGGTCATAAATTTTAGTGCTCTTTTTTTTAAACTATCATGGAGGACCTGTTGAATTTATTTCCAAACATTTCAGATGTTTTCTGAAACAGGATACTTCAGAACCACATTATCCTGTCTGTTGCTAACATGTTTGAACTTGGAATCCCGCCCAACAGAATAACTCAAAGCAAGTAAAGTTTTGAACAGAGCAATTTCTCTTGATGATGAATTTTAAGCAAAAGTTTATTCTTACCCACTGCTTCCCATTCATCTGCAGTGAGGGTTCCCTAACAATGGAATAACAAATCATGAAAGTATGACTATTGTCTAAAACAATAGTGACAATCAACAGCGGTACTGCAACACAAAGCCTTTGAAAACATGGCTGGTCGACAGCCAAATACAAAATGGCAACAGTGGCCACTTACGGCATTTTTGAGAATTCATGATAAAGGGGACTTTGGACCATCCTACAATGTTATAAGCAGTGACACTCGTCTTGTTGCTGTTTCCGCGATAAGCGAATTTAAATTTTGCACAAATGACTGCATAAAGATATTTTTTTGGCTAGAGATCACATCTTAAATTGTTTTCAATTTTCATTATGCCTTAAACAGCCTTGGCCTCATTTTCTTCAAAACTCGAATAATTGCCTGATGAAACTCCTAGACACCATCCTCCAAAATTTTCTCAAAAAATATATAATCATTTCTAGTGTGTAATACAAAATTGTAACAGAGAACACACCTACCAAAATGCATAATTCAAAATAAAAAAATAGGCATAACTTTTACATAGCTATCTTAAAAGCGGAGCCTGGTGATATTAAACAATGTCGAGACATTAAGCCAACAAATATTTTGCAAAGAAATAAAGAGAATGATGAAAAAATAAGCATGAATGTTAGGATATTTGGTAGAGATGGTAGTCAGCTTCTTGGAAAGAACAAAAAGACACAAACTACACTTCGTTTGAAAGCATAGTGAAGTCCTTGCTGAGGTTACAAAGACTAACTGACTCATAAACCTAAATACTTTACTGCACGACATTGAGGGGCACATTTACAAAAACATTATACAAGAGATGAATAAAAAGGATAAAATAAACATGAATTGAAAGGACATACAACGATATTTTCTCGTCCACTTTTGTCGTTTTGATGATCCTTGGCATGCGCATACGCTTCCTCATTCTCACAGACTAGGTTCCAGCCCTTTCTTGCAGGATAGCCCTTTTGAAAGAGAAAAAACTCAATGAGGAACAAAGGCACATAGACTAGGATTTGGAATGTTTAATGGATAAGAATAGTTATCAAATACAATAAAAATTATAGACCTATGGACAAACAGCAACTACAAATGACTTGAGGCCTGTCAAGAACAGTGGTTTGATCTAAAGTGACGGAAAGCCCCATGACAGCTGCCGATCATTTAAGTCAACTTTTACAGCATGAATACAGCTACTTTGCAACTTTAATGTATAGCAAGATATCTTTTTCACAAAAAGCAGTAGTGCTTTAGAGACAAATCTTAGTCATACATTTAGAACAAAGTTGTCTAGTGCAGATATTTCAGTATTCCTTGGCTGTAGAATGGTACCTGGCACAATCAAACAAATTTTGGGTGCAATACCTTCAACCCAATATTTACAATAATTTACAAGTTTCTACATCTGTACTAAGCAACAGACCCTTTAAGGTCACGGCTGTCTTTCTGTGCACACCATTACACCGATTTACTGTAATAACAATTGAATGGTAAATTATACTAGGCTAGATGTAAAAGGATTTTTGGTTGAGGGCAACTGAAAACATTGAAAATTTTAGCTTTCTGCTTAGAAATTGAGATTCTCACCTCTAATGCCTGCATTTTATGCAATAGATTTCCATAATCTTTGTTTTTCTCATTAAACAGTTCATGAAAGCTTTGTTTGTATACAAGTCTCATGTTATACTTTGCAGCAAGTCTACAAATTAATGGAAATAAGAACATTTAAAGGAACAAAATTTCTTATTTCGATACACATTAACAGTCTCAAAAGACTGAAGTAGTCAAAATAAATGCAAATTTCAGAGGATTTTCATATATTGAGATGAAGGCTTTAACTGAATACAAATAAATCTTGGTACATTTCACAAAAAATCATCCTTGAATCAGTCTGACTGAAATTCATTTGGTGCAAATGAAAATACTAAGTTACACAAATTATAGGTTTAGAATCTACAGACAATTTTTTGAATACAAAATTGTTTCTAGAAAAAGAATCTTCAAAGTGTTGTTTGCTATTTATTTTAGTCATACACAAAAGGAAAACAATTTTTACTAGTATTTTGGAAACAGAGAGGAAAATCATAATAAAAACGAATTACACCATTTCTATAAATGTCTTCATAATTCTATTATCCCATTTTTTATCACATATATAAACATGTTACAAAATTTGACATGTTTTTTTAGCAATGTGGAAGAAAATACAAAATCTACTCACTTTTCTACAACTGGGAAGTACACCAAAAACTCTGGACAGTCAACAACTTCATGTAATTTGAAATGATACTTGCTTCCAAAAATATCAAAGTTGTCTTTGTCTTCAAACTCTATATTATAGACTTCATTCCCAAATCCATTGCCTTCTGCTTTTTGTAGCCTTTTTCTGAAAAGTTGCACAAAAGACAATCTTACTAATTTGGAAATTACTGTTTATTGGTCTGTCATAAAGTGCTGGATGCCATATAGGCAGAGCTCTACAAGGAGGAACTTGCAGTAGCAACTTAAAACTGTACTGTTCTATACACCAAACAAGAGGATCATACGAAAATTCAACAACAACTATCAAAGATTATTGACAAATAATTCAAACTATCAAAGACAGGAATAAAGACTAAGTAACAAAAACAGAAACAAAAAAATAAATTCTTTATCCAAAATCAAAATCCTAAAGTTTCTGTATTAGATAATACACATGTCTTGAAAACTGAAAGTGAAAGTGAGACTTACACAAGTTCATAGGCATCTGGTGTGGTCCCAATGAAGTAACCACCAGGCCTAAGCTTTTCACATGCATTACGAAGCATTGTGTCTGCTTGTTTGTAGCTCTCGAATGAGTAATGAAATGCAAACTGGCAGCTTGTCAAGTCCAACTGTGTGTCACTATTTTTAAACTTGTCTGGTAAATTTTCCTGTCAAATAACAGGCTCAATTGATGGATAAATATAAACTTGTGTCCGTGAATTCTGATTGATGAAGGCATGAGTTTTTTAAAGTATTTTTGAACAAATAGGCACTTAAATTATCAAAGCAACAAACAAAATGAATGTGTTTACTCATGATCATAGAATATACTGATAAATTTGGAGAGAATGGATAGTCAAAAGAGCAAAAGTAGGAAAGCAAGTACCCTGGTTAAGTCCCCTTCAGCACTGTAGTAAAATGCTTAGCATTAACCTTCTTTATATTGATTTTGTTACCCTTGGAATATTCATCATGTATAAATTATCATAATTCAGGCTTTTGTGGGAAAAATACAGCAGGCATGCTAGTCACCACATGCCTGAAAACGTCCAGGTGTGTGGTGGCGTGTGATATTTTTCGCAAAAAATTAGGGTAATCATGATAGATCTGTTAAGGTTGTGTTCCTATAATTTTCTGGTCTTGCAAGATATTGGCATCAGTTGCTAGTCATAAACACAATAGACCTTTGATTACATTTTCTTTCAAGATATATTACCTTGTATAATAAGATTTTACCTTGGTGCAGTCTGCTGCAAATGCATTCTATTAGAAAATAGCGTTTCATTCTATCCCTGTAGCCAGTCGCTGGCCCTTCTTACAACGATTCTCAAACCTTTCTTTGCACTGCTCCACGGAGGTTTCAGCAATATCTAAATGAATAGGCAAAGTATATGTTTTGCTTTTAAAGCACAATTTTAAAAGTCAATTATAGCGTACTCATTAACTAGTGGTTCATTTTTAAAAATCAGCATTCTTGTGACACATTTGACTGCATTAACTTGCATGTTGCTAGTTGATTATTTACCTCACTGTACCTTTAAAATTACCAAAGTTGAGTTTGAGAATTTTGGGGCTAGAAAGGTCACGACTTGTGACTTTATCGATTGTTTTCTCAACTCTCGATATTGTGCCATAATTCTTATAAAAATCTCTGAAAGATTTAGAATCCAAAGACCATTTACTCTAAGTTTTATCACAACTACTTGCTTCTTATCCTGTTAATATGTATATTTTACCACTCCAGATCTTTTTTCTATAATTGTATCATTTCTTAGATAAATATTGTAATTCTAAGTAACTCAAAATTCTCAATAAATTTCAAAGAATTTGATTTCTGGTTTAGCATGATTATGTTTATATTTGGGAGAAATTTTTCAGCGTAAACTTATAGGTTTGCAAAAATTCACAATTTTTGGATGCCTTTTTTATTTGGGTATTGCAATACTTTTAGTGTATTATTTATTTCAAGCCTCAAGTATATGGCACAAAATTTTAAAAGCAAAGGGGCTGAGCACACTAGCATCAAATGGTGATGTGTGTTATCTAAATTATCTTCTAAAAATAGGTTTTGAGCTCCTATGTAAGTTTTATAGTGTGCCTAGCGAAATTCTTTATCCTATGATTTGTCAACTTTTGCCTAATCCTCAAAGGTTCTGTCATCTTGCCTTGAATCAATCTAATATTTAAAATCACAATATTTACAATATTTAAAATGTGATACTTTGTCCATAATATTATTGCTTAGTAAATTGTATATTATAGATAAGTGGTCTGCAGCAACTGAGCCATTCGATTGACATTTTGTTATGGGGGTACTAAGGTGTTAAAACATTTAAGAGATCAAATCATTTGAAATTACAAATCATTAACAAAAACCAGTCATTGTAGGCATATACTGACAGAGGGAAGCATTTTCATCAGGATGCCATCTTACTGTATTTACTTTAAGGTTGGAATCAAACCCCATAAACAGCATGAAGAGAATGGCACTAAATTGACAGTCTCAAAAACATCTCTCACAACAAGGGCAACATTTTTGATACCCTTATAGCAAATCTAATATGAACATTGCTCTACAGAAACAAGATTGAGGTAAGGTCTATACCAAACATTGTTACCTGCACAAATCACATGGCCAACTCGGCCTTTTTGCCATTTGAGTAAATCCCCACCTTTACCACAGCCTAAGTCAAGGACCGTGATTTCTTCATCATATCTTCTTCTAGCTCTGATGATATAGATTTATTTACTGATGTAGATTATTTAGATATAGAATTTTACAGACAAAAATACACATATAGAACATATAAATATATTTCTGTTAACACAAAAGTGAGAAAAACCACATACAGAAAGGATAATCAAGACTTCTTGTTTTTACAAAGAGTCTTGTGGCAACATAAGAGTAATGAGTTGACTTCTAATATTGAAATTCCTCTCATCATTAGATTGAGGTTGCTTCATAATCTTTCCACTAATTTTAGCTAAATATATAATGATATACAGTACAGTTATGAAGAACGAAATTATCAAACTTACTTCTTTGCTTTTTCTAGATATTCGTTTATTAGAACACTCTTAACCCAGTTGTTGAAATTCCTTAGGTAAAATATTCTACTCTGTTTCCTTTCTTCTTTTCCAGTTTCAGGGATACTGTTGTAATGTTTTGCTACTGTGTCTCCCATAGAATCCTCCTGAAAAATCAAAACATCTATCTGTAATGTCAGAATAAAATGATTAAATGAAATTTTTATCCTATCATTTAAAATTTAATTTTGGGAAAACAACATGTTTTTGAAAAAAACATTTATTGGCTCAGATCATTTATATCATGATTTAACAGATTCCAATGTGCCTATCTAAAGCTGAATTCATAAAAGACATGATTCTGCCACAGTGAGATTTGTCTTTTCTGAAAAATTGTGTGTGCATCACGTATTGGGGAACAGGGCATGATGTTGACTTATCAAACATCTCTGCAATCAAAGACAGAGATACAACTTTTTGTTTGGGGAGGGCAGCCCTGATAAATCAGTGTAGCAAAAGCCATATTTTATCAATTAAAAATATTTTACTAATCCAACTTAAGTTTTTTTGGGCAAGCAAGGCCCCCTGACCCCCCCCCCCAATTTTTTTTCTAACCCCAGAAAAGTATATCTATACTTTTCCAAAAATTTCCATACATCAATTAAAATCTACTTTATGTCTTTTAATTTTGACTTGCCAGTGTTGTAAATTCAAATGATACTTTTTCACATTGTCTTATCAAAAATTCAACATATATGGAACTTATTAAAAAGTTTACAAATAATGAAACAAAGAAAATAAAATTTTTCTAGAAAATAGTAATAATCAAATATAAGAATATTGCTTTTCAAACCTTTTCATCTTTGTGTCCATTCACTTCTTTATCTGCAAAAAATATTCAAGTTGATTAACAATTAGATATCCAGAAACACACTCAACAAAATTTTTAACTTAGAGCAAGTATAGAGGAAATTCACAATTGTCCTTCATTATACGAAACAGGCAACAAAACAACAAAGGTCGGCATATATTAATAGATCATACATGAAACATGAATTTAGCTGAAACATTTGCTTCATTTCTGAAAAATACAGTCTAAACCTATGTTGGTCTCTTTATTTTCGTGTCTTTGCACGCACTTGGGTAAAATAGCTACGGTTTCTTGTGGTGTCTTGCCAGTTACTGACTTTCCAGAGAATCCTATCAAAATATTACGTAGAATACAGGGACAACATAATTTAGTGACGGTATCACTTTCTCTTTTCTAGGCCAAATTTCCATGTTTGGTTTATATGACTTTTGATTGACCACAGTTCCTCGGTGACGGGCTTACATAACAAGTAGCAAATTGCAAACAAGTTTTTCTGGACAACTCACGCAATAAAGATAAACAATTGAGCATTACTATTACCATCTTTCTGATTATCCTCTTCTCCGTGTGCTTCGTCTTTCAAAACATATTCTTCTTCTTCCTCCTGATCTACATTCGCCTTTGCGCTTTCATCTGCAGCAAAACTATTACTTGAGTCCTCTGTCACTGCTTGCTTTAATTCCTCAATATCTGTTGACGGCTTTTCCTCGATATCCACTGGTTCTTGCGCGCTGATCATTTCATGATCGTCTGTCGATTCTACTTGATCTGCCATTTTCGTTTCTCAAAGAAGGCTTCAGACGCACGTGAAACATCTGCAAATCCGCGCCAGATGAATAGTTCAAAAGATTCCGCGGGAAGACGCGTATTCACGCGCATTATATGGCTAGTCCGTTATTACAGATGTGAACCATTTTGTAGCTTTCTATTTACAAAATATTCAATTTACTGTCTTGATTTGACCTTCAGAAGGAAAATGAGCGTAGCAATGTAATTGTTTTAGCTGTTGTAATCTCAGCTTAGTTCGAAATTCAAATAATTCTAGTTTCTAGTTATAAAATAAAAAGAAACTGAACTAATTCGAATAACAAAGTGAAAAAAGATTCACAAAATTTCTAAAATGATGTACATTTTTCTATATTACTATACATTTTTTAGAATTACTACATGCAAAACTCCCACTACCTCGATTCTATTATGCCGACAGAATTGACTTTTCATAATGCTGAATTCGTTTCTATCATCTGTTTCAAGAATCTTTATACCTACATACGTTGAAATTGCATTGAATATCAGACCATTACTTTATCAATCGCTTGAATATGTTAACAGTTTCAGAGGATTTGATCTCGTTTGGTGAACTATTCCACAGCTTGGAACCCAGAGATTTGAAACTGTTTGCACCCAATGTAACTTGATTGGGTCTATGATGATGTAGGCCGTAGGGGTTTCTCGAAGAACGATTCGGTCAGGGAACTGATTTTAAATGAAAGATACCCCGCATAAAAGTAACATAAAGCATGATTTTCTTTTTTCATGTATGATACTTGTATGATTCTATCATATCATTCTTGTATGATTTTCTTTTTCCATGGTCTTGTGAATTTCAAATGCATAGGCTTGGTAGACGAAAGATATCCATAAAGTTCTTGCTTGCCTTATGAAGATCTTCATAGGATCCATTATTGTCTTTGTAAAGCAATCTCAATGCTCTCTCGTGAATTTTTTTCAACTTTTTGCATTTTTTAAATTATGAAACAACAATGACCATGAAACTTCAAAGAACAGAGTCCGGAGGTACACCTGAAATGAGGGTAACCACCAGGGGTGTCGCGACCGGGGGGTGTGGGGGTGTCACAGCCCCCCAATAGTATCTCAATAGGAAATTTCAGGTAAAATCCGCTCGGTGGAAGAAACGCTTTATGTATTTTAGAGACCTTCATATCATAAAATCAAACAAGAATCAAGCAAAGTTAGTTGCTCCGTTGGTTAACCCTTTCGTTATTGACAGAATTTTAGGATTTTTGCCTACTTTATCTAAAAATTCAGCAAAAATTGATTTTTCAAGATAACTGGATGATCTTTTGCCCAAGTAATCATCAATAGCTGTATTTTATACAAATGATCTTATTATGCCAAAATTATATTATAATTGGACATTAATTAGCATCCAATTTGCATAATTGAATATAACAGAAAAGAACTTTATTAATAAAGGTCAATTATCTTCAATAATAAAACACTTAACTACTTTTTTCTTTCAATAATGTATTTTGTCATAGTCTTAGCACACTGAGTTGAAATATCAATCATTTTTCTTGAACAGTCTTTTTTTAATTAATTAATATGCAACAATGGGTCTAAAACAATTCAATTCAATTTGGCAAGTGCAATTTCGATTTTGACTATTAAGAGAAAGAAAACAAGTAAAAAACACAAAATCTTGGAGAGAAAAGATTGTAATTTTGACCAAATGTTCTTTTTTACTTTTTATGCTTTTTTATTTTTTACTTTTTTTTGCTTTTTCTCTATCTAATCTACATGAATTTACCAAAAACAACAACTAATCTAGCGATCACGACTGTAACTTAGGAAAGCTTCCTTGTACTGCTCAAACTCTGGGGAATGGAAAAGCAAGAAGCAGTTTCTTTCTCCAATACACAAAGGGATATCACATACAACACAGCAAAATGATGAGGTTTTTGCTCTATAACTTTGATCTATGCTATGCACTGACTTCATAACTGAGCAAACTTTGCAAACTTGGTGTTTCTCAAGCTTCACCGGCAAATGCCCTTTCTCTAATCTATTCTGCCACAATTCCTTTTTACTAACTGCCTTCTTCAAAGTTGCTGATCTTTGCTTTGCACTATTTACTGCATGAGCTGTTGCCTTACAGATGAAGTCCTCTACATTACTAACTTTAGTACCTAAATCTGCAAATGATCTGACCTCTGGTTCGGCTCTAATGGCTTTCTGCTCAACAAAAGCAAGCTGAAGGGCTAAATCCTTTTTAAAATCAAGAAAAGAATAGTTCTTAGGCATTTTCTGCTCAGGGGTTGGGTTTCTAAGCTCTCTCCAAAACACATATGCATCCCAAGCACAAATATCAACAAAATGAGAGAATAATGTTTTCCAAAACTTTTTAGTCCTATATTGAACAGAATACATATGGTACATCTGATCAGACAAATCTACACCATTCATATCTTTGTTATAATCTGAAATGCATTTAGGCCTCAAAACCTTAACCTTTTTATGACTTCCATCAACCTTTGTATTCCTTGTACAATAATCATAATCATTGGCAGAATGGTAGGTGGAGAGAACAGAGACAACATTCCTATCAACCCACTGTACAAGCAACACATCATTCGGCTTTTCCCCATTTCTAATATACCTTATTGTTCCTCGATCAAGTTTCTTCCCCCAAGACTGCCTATTTTTCATTACCTCAGGAAAGGATGAGGAATTTTCCCTTACAGTACCAACAGCATTTATACCAACTGAAGTCAAATATTGGAACAATGGGACACTGCAATAAAAGTTAGCAGCAAAAAGAACATACCCCCTGTTTACCAGAGGTTTTGTTAAATTAATAACAACTCTGGCAGCTAATTGGTTGATGAGATTTCCTGCATTTTCTGGATTGGGGTTTTCATTAAAAGCCTTAGCTCTACCAAGTCCTCTTTCTATCCCTTCAAAACTATTATCAACAACACTGAAATCATCCCAATCATCCTTTCTGCTTTTACCAGTATAAACCACCATATCCCAATTGTAGCCTGTAGCAGAATCAGCTAGAACCCAAAGTTTGAAACCCCATTTAGTGGGCTTATTCATTATATATTGTTTGAAGAAGAACCTACCCTTAGACTTAACCATACGTTCATCTATAGACACACATTTACCAGGAGTAAAAAGTTCCTTACAGCGACTTCGCATATGGTCATAGAAATTCCTTATTTTTCCTAATGGATCACTTTTGTCCTCTGTCTCAGGGTTTACACAATGAAGGGCAGCAAGTATTCCGCAATACCTAGAAAATGTTGGAATAAACATTGACCCAAGAAGACCAGAAAAAAGCTTATCATTCTGCCAGTAGTTACGCCTAGCAGGGGCCTTAACAATACCCATATAAAATAGACAGGCAAGAAATCTCCTAAATTCCATCAAATCAATGGGTCTCCACACATGGCAACCATGGTCCTGGGACATGTAGCTTTGACCTATTCCTTGACCATACACAGCATAAATGTTTGAGTTTTCAATTATGGTTCCCATCAGATCAAAAGAAAAAAAAAGCAAGAAAAAGTCTAAGGCTCTACAAGGGGCACTGCCTCTCGCCCAAACTACTTTTGGGCCAACACTGCTTACATTATGTGGTGGAAGCCACTTCTGTTCCCTATCACCTGTGTAGCCTAGAGACTCTGCCAAACTACAATCACTATCCTGATACTCCTCTTCACTAACTTCTGACTCGTCATGGATCTCATCGACTACTACAGCTCCGTCCAGCTCATCGTCCAACTCAACTGGATGTCCTGAACCAGCCAGACTCTGCCTAAAACAAAGATATAGAAAATAAGCAAAGACAAGATGATTTATAATTTGGTAATTTCTGCAGCAGTGCAACAAATAGTAAAGAAATCTAAGTGAATCTGTTCAGAGCCACCATATACAAAATCAGCTGATTTGTTTATCACGGGCCTAAAATTTCTTGAAAACCACTCCCAAAAAAAACAAAAATTTTTGGCCGTACTTAGTTAGCCATTATTCTAAGATTTTCACTACAGCTTCAGAAATGGTTCTTCTTTATCGCTAATGTATCCAAAAGTTTGAAGGAAACAATATGTAAACTTACGATCCACTCTCATTCGAAGTTTCAGGATTTTCTTCTCTTTGTCGCTTCCTGCGGGGCTTCCTTCGTCTTGGTTCGTCCACTCTTTCCGTCAGCGGTGCTACAAACCGAATTTCTACCTCTCTACCACTTAATAAGGCACAGTCGATCTCAAATTCATCTTCTGAGTCAAGTCCGTTCTCATTATCCATTTTAAAATCAATTTTGAAAAACACGCCTCATTCACGACATACGCAACAAGATCAGTCAAGATGGCGGTTACAGGCCCACGTTGTCTGGGATATTTATACGAAAGAAGCGCATAAATTAATCAAATAAGTATAATTTTCTAACTGTCCAATCATATTTGAGCAAATTTAGCATAAGTTAAGGAGGGTATGTTGCCTTGGAGCTCCAAAATAAAATATTTTCGGCTAGGGTATCGGTCACGTGGTCTTATCCAGATGTACATCTGGATAAGGAATTAAAGGGTTAAATATGACATTCCTTAATATGAATGAAGGTAAACAAACTAATGATTTGAATATTTGAAGATTTATTGTTGGCACTAAATCGACAAATCCAGGCCCTCTTTAGGTGAAATTGTGTCTTGTGTCCATCTCCCCTAAAGTTTCTCGGTCAACTGCAATTCACTATGAGCTCCAGATTTTTTTTAACATTCAAAAGGCATGCTAAGATGGAAAGAGAGATCTAAATTGACAACCAGTGCTGCTTGATACCTAGCTTTAGAAGTAACTGACAAAATGGTATTTCTCAAGACCACGGCGAAATTGTACCAGTTGTTTTTAACTGCTGTTCAATTTGTTTGCAAAAAAAATTATTTTTAATAGGATTAGGAGGATTGTTTTAGTGAAATATGTTTGAAAGAGTGCATTTTCCAGGGAACCAGAAGCATCAAAATTCGAAAATTTCCTGCTCCTTCGGCGGCAACCATGGTGCCGCCTCTGGTAGTAAC